TGTTCATGGTTGAGATGTCTGGCTTGGAACTGACACCGTTTCCAGATCCACTACCATCTTGCTGATTGCAAGATACATTTAACAGTGAAGCCCTCGCATAACTTTGTGTCTTAGGGTCATTGCAACCGGAAATTTTCCCTCGTGCACAATCATCAAGCCACTTGCACCATGTTTCATCAGCTAAAATTACCTTCTGTACTTGCGGTAGAAGTGAAAGAATGGTTAGCAATCTAGCAGCATGCCTTCGGATGTGCGCACTAGCTGGGACTCTGACATTAGATGGATCCTGCGTATCTGCGACTGAAGATACACCAAGACTATCTGGAGCTCGCTCTCGAGCCTCAAGGGCTCTGGATGCATCATAAGCTTCTATTGCACCTAGCTTCTCATAATCATCACATAACAGAAAGCGCCTTAGCAAACAAAGAATTCCAAAATCAACTATTTTGTTCTGGCATACAGAATCTTCAACACAAACATCAGTCAGTGACTTGATTGCCTTAAGGGTTGCCAATGCAGACTCAGCAGCATTAAATTTAGGGGGTGTGTCCTTCTTTAAGTTCTTAATCGGTACCGCAAAAGGCTCTGAAAGGAGCAGATCTGCCAGTGGAACATTATTAACAGAATCTGGGACTGTATCCAGTTGAGCCATGGCAAGACTAACAACAGCCGCTGCTAGCTGATTGGTTGACTGAGTAGCAGAAGAAACTTTTGACTGATCTACCTGTATATTCCAAATCAAACAGCTGTTATTTACAAAATTCAAAACCAAAAGATGTAATGAAACTAAAATAGTCATTACTCTCAACTATTCTCGGTTTAGATAACAGAATCAATGACCATAAAATTCAATGCACCTTTGGTTTCTCGGTTTTAGGTAGGCTAGCTCCTTTAGCTGACAACGTCTTGCTGTGGTTCAAAATCTCACTCATTATAAGGGTTAACCATCCCTGAGAAATTGGGACAGAGTGTGGTCCATAGTCCTCAAAAGTGCGTGAAAGGATTCTTCTTGCTGAAGATTGAACAGTCTCAGATGCAACTTTTCCAAGAGCCCATGAAAGTAGTATGCCGGACCATTTCTGACTCTCTTCAAGAGATAAATGCATGTCACCTGTACAGAGTAATTCTAGAGCCTTTGACAAACCTTCTTGCACTGCTCTGTGCTTTTTTGTTTTCCTAGCACTATCTCTCATCTGATGAAGACCCTTCTCCATTACCATCTTCTGGGCTTTGTCACTTCTGTCAACGGAGACTAAAAAGGCAGACAAAGCAACTTGAGCCAAAGAGATATCCTCAGTTGTACAGGCATGTGAAACAGTGGCAAGCAAACTGGAACTCCAGTCAGAAACAGAATCGCTTAATGGAAGATTATGATCCTCCAACAGCAGCCGAGCTACCAAACTCCCATGCCATTTCACAGTCCTCTCTGGTGCCATTAAGGCTGTCATGACAACTTGCCCATCACGATCAAGTTCTTGTATATGAGATCTATTCGTACTAGAAGCCATTGCCCAGTTCGCCAATGCCCACGCAGCAAATGGCACTGCGACATGTTCACAATGTAAATCATCCCAAAGACCAGGAATGACAGCCGATGACAGGTTAGCTTGCGAAGAATTATCATGTTTACTTAGCAATGCAAATGTTTTAGTGGTTCTCTCTCCAGCTTTAGCATTAAGGTCACCTAACGGCGCAAGCCCACTGGTTCTTGATAGTCCCAGAACCGTGGTTCCTTCAAGGATTTTAATTCCAATTCCCTTAATCCCACTTCTTCCATCATCACTGTCATCATCTTTTTCTGGCTCATCAAAATACATACCACCTTCCTCAATTACTTGGATTGCCGCAGCAATATCTCTCATTGTAGCATTTCCCGGCAATGATGACTTAAATGGTGTCTTTTCTATTGTGTCACAGTTGGAAGTGACGATATCCATTATAGCAGCCACAAGCATGCTCCTACCTTTCAAAGAATCAGAAATATCGAATGAACTACGTCTTGAATGCTGCTCCCAAAGAAAAGCTATATATCAATGACAAAACACAACCAGAAGCATCACATTATCAAGACTCATATGTCTCAAAAACCTTATCATGTGTAAATAACAATGACAAATCTCTAACTTGACACTTGATAAACAACCCTAGATATACACAAAACTCATTGTTCTAGCTTATCATAGAAATGCACTTGGATTATTCTAAATCCTAAAATGCAATCTAGATTCATATCACAGTATCCATTACATCTAATCTGAATAATCCTTCTATTGACTCCTGAACAATTGATTCTACTCACTAGTGGAAAACCAAAACGCACCTTTTTGTTTTTTGGTTGACATGAGAATATGAACTTGAGCAACTTAGGCACTGCATCGGGCCTTGCTAGAGCGTCTTTCCTCACCATTGGATCAGCAATAAGGTAAGCAAGAGCCCTAGCCGCTTCGTCCTGTGCCCCAATTCTATCTCCGGGGACAGCCGCCGTCTCTAGCAACCAATCAACCACCGCACCACTTCCAGCTCCGACGAGAGCTGCTCTACGAGCAGCATTAGCCGACGCTATATCGGCTAAAAGAGCAGCCACCCGGAGCTCGAACCCCGCACGCACCTCATGATTGGCTGAAGAGAGCACGGACCTTAGCGACTGCCACAGAACCGAAGCCGCAACACCGGTTTGTCTAGCATGATGAACCACTCTCCTCAATGAATTTCCAGATTTCTGAACCGCGTGCTCGATTGAATCGTAGATCCGGCTGTTTCCGTTAGGGTTACGATCTGATTTGTCATGATTAGAGGGGAAAACAGCAGTGTACGCAACCGCGGTGGATAAAGCGGCGGCGGAGAGAACAAAAACGGATTTCTTAGAGAAGGAAGAAGAAGATGGAGAGACGGTGTAAATCGAAGGGAGAAGACGTCGCAATGGTTGTCGCGGCGGAGACGGTGTGAGATGAGGTCCATTGTGATTCAAGGAAGGGCCGTTGGTTCGCGGAGAAGAAGAGGAGAAAGCTCGAGGAAGACGGCGGAAGAGACGACGGTTACAAGATCGGAGAAGATTGAAACGGAGAAGAAGAAGCA